CACAACAACAACTACAACCACAACAACCACCACCACAACAACAACTAGAACAACAACGACGACAACGCCAACGACAACAACTAGAACAACAACGACGACAACGCCAACGACAACAACTAGTAGTAAGTAATTTGTTAAATCGCGTGTGCATCATATGTCTGTTTGAGAAAGAGTGGCTTCATGAGACATTGAAAAACGGACTATGACACCGGATGTCAAAGACCAAATAAAATAGAATATTGTTTGTCTCAGTTTGTTTTCAATAGTGTTTGTTCGGATAGAGTGGGCGTAGGTAATATGAGAGAACTTCCTTTTCAAACGGTTAGACTAACACATAAGACCGAATATTAGTATAAGGTAATAGAAACTACTATGGTTCTTTAGCTGAAACATCTTTTTAATCATCAGTATATTAGTGTCTACATTTTTTTAGTATTAATAATATTCTCATATCGATCGAAATAATTTGTCATCGTAAAAAATAGAAAGTGAGAATTCAAAAGAGAATGATAAACGATCTATCCCATTCAGAGATCATGTACTTTCATAAATACAACTATGGTAGTTCAATTGTCAGTATGAGAAATAAGATTGTTGTATGATAATTCAACGACAGATCGAGAATAGTCCGACGAAAATAATGTCTCATCCTATGTATTCACGGTAGGCTTTACAAAAATTCTAAATTTTCGTCAATCATTTTTATTTAAAAATCTACTATGTTCGACTAGTTTTTCGAAGATTTTCTTTCTATCTAAATTATGATGCCGCTGGAGAGTTCATCATTGTTTCGATGATGAGTTTTATTAACTACTATTGAATTGCAATAATTTATTGTTTTGCAGAAGTTTGGACGAATATTGCATCCGATAATGCTATTGGTAGTAATTGTGCTGGAGTTGGATACACTACGGTGGGAACAGTGAGTGCATGTCAGAGTGCTTGTCTGTCTGTTAGTGGTTGTACAGCAGTCGATTGGAATCCGAGTACTGGCGGCTGTACGTACCGTCAATGTGCCACTTATCCGCCAAATTATGCAAGCGCAAGTGGCTGGCAAGTATGGGCATTACAAACCGTTTATTAAAGCGAACAAGGTGGGAAATGACTGAAAGTGTACTACATTAAACAGAATGCATATAATGCGGAGTAAACAAACTTTATTTTTTGATGTATTTTTGTAAAATTAAAATAAAAGGACAAATTTTTGAGTGTTCTGTAGTAAAAACTTTGATGGTAGGTGCGTCGATGTGTGATAAATCAAAAAACAGATTAATGTATCTTTTGATGAAAAGACAAGCACAATCTGTTATTCTCAACTTTCGCTGTTCAGCGATCGATCGTAAGTCGACATAAGATTATACTGAAGTGATATGCTTGTGAAATTAAGATAAATGCACAGCTTTAATTTCGTAGACGCTTAACGTGTTATTACTTTTCTATTTGTATGACAGAAAACGATATTATGGGAAGTACTCAAACCTATAACATGTACAGTAGAACACACAAAGAACATGTTTTTAACTTTATCATACAATGTTTATGTTTATAGAAAAACTATCTATTATTTTGTTCATTACTTTTTGAAACTTATTCATTCGTTGTTGATTTTTTTTTCTTGATAAGTTTTACAGTATCTAACATAACAATAAGAACAATAAAAAGTGTGGGTGTGAGTGTAGAGTGCAGGTCTAAGTCTGGTTATTATTTTTATGCCACACCCACACCCGCAAGATGGTTTATATTAAATCTATTTGTGGAATATTTTCTAATAATTGTATATCTAATTGTGTTATTTACGATTAAAATATTATATTGAATATTGAACAGATGAAATTAATGATGTTTGATTAACTATTTTCTCAATATTGACTGTAAACCTTTTGAGTTTCGCCGAGGTATAAATACGCTTCTAGGTTATTTTTTAATTATTTGGAAAACTTTTCACTGCATCAAATCCTATAAGAAGCTTTTCTTTCACTTTTTGACAGCAGAAGTTCGTAATCCATTGTTAATTTATAAAGTGCAGAATAATATTTTGTTCTATCACCCTCACTTTCATCTTAAAAATATCAGAATTGTTATGCTAGATATATATATGATATGTGTCACGACTGCAATATATTTTTATATATGACTGAGTATTTTAGATATTAGCATATGAAAATAAATTACTAATATTTTTTTTCATACTGAAATGTTATTTCTTTGTAAAAAAGAATCACAATCATAATTAATCATCTCTCCTAAAAATTTTGATTCTTGTACTAAAAAAAATAGTTGGAGCTCAAAGGTTTTTAATGACTTATATGACATGTTTTTAATTTGTTGAACAATTTATGAATTATTTGCCTTTACTAAATTTTTATTTTCTAAATAGACTTAAATTTATTATTTATTTGAAATATTTACACATAATATTAAATCTTTCATTCATATGTCTAAGAAAGAATCCTAATATTCCAGGCATATTCTAGTCTGGATGCATTTTGGATACTCGCTTGAGAAATGCTCTGTTTACATATTTTCTTATATTAAATAAAAAATAATTAATACAAATCTTTTATGGAGAAAAATAAATAATCTGATTTAAGCAAAATATGTCACACCCAATCTTTCACATTAAAGATTTTCATCAATATACGACTAAAATAGATGTACTATTTGTTTATCTCGGACATTTGTTAAAAGAAGATTATATTTTCCTTTTTGATAATGCTAATGAAGAATTATCTAAAATATAAAGATGTTTATAAATTTCATTTGCTTCAACAATGAATAACGAGACGACTTTCACAGCAGGTTTTGTATTACCTTTACTTACAGTCATTCATGGTTCAATAGCTAGTATAATGTCAACTATTGTCTTCTTTATTATTATTTATCATCAACATAATAATCGAATAAAACAAGAAGAAAGAATTACTTTCATCTTATGTGCTAATATTTATCTTTGTATTTTTCTTTGTTCAACTATGTTACTTCTACTAAATATTCAAACATTGTTAGGTGATCTTTATGGTCTAAATTTTGATTCAACACAATGTATATTTTTTGGATACCTTAATCTTATTTTTATCTATACTTTATATTATGGATTCGTTACTCAAGTACGTATAAATAATACGTGAAGTTATTCTATAAATCCTAAAAACACAGTTAATTATGACTATTGGTTTGTAAACTTGACTACCGTGTAATACCAAATTGAGATGGTTTCTGAGAATCTTTGTATGAAATAGTTGTATGTAGGAAAGCTAGAATTATATTTAATACTATACTAACTTTAAGAAATGATATATCTCCACTAATTTAGGCTTTATACCGACTTTGCCGTATTGTATATCCAACATACAGATGGTTTCAAATATATTGGCTTTATATTATCGCAGTACCAGTTCAACTTATTAGTGCTTGTTTAATTATGTGTCCACTAATTATTCGTCATGATATTATTTATATACCTGATTTATATCAGTGTTTTATACCAAATCACAATATTCTCGGCACTGTTTGGATAATAGTTTTTATGTATGGACTGCCTATTTTTTCTTTATTAGTTATTTATATTCATATAACGACACATATTCGTCAACAATCAACTAATCAGACGATAGCTGTCAAACGTCGACAAGCGCGAGATTTTGTTGTCATTCGACGCATTATAATTCTTAATAGTATATTATTTACTCTGGGAGCGCCGGGCATGATTCTGTTGGTCATCAATTATATCACAGGAAATGAACTAACTCTCAATTATCGTGTCACATGGTTTTCATTTGAACTATCTATGATACTACTAAGTATATTAATGATTATTATGACACCTCAATTGAAAACTATTGTTATATCAAAATGGAAACGAAATAGAGTGATACCTGTAGCTGCTATTATAGAAAATTCAGTGCAAACAAGAACAGCTGGTACTCTTCAATAACTCCAGGGACTTTTATAATGAACACATTCAAATGTTTTTTGACTTTTTTTTCCTCAAAATAATTATGATTGTATTGAACAAGTAGTATTTATCTTTTCTATTACAGTTTTTCAACTGATTTAATACAAAATAAAATAATTTCTAACTTTATTAATTAAACTGTTATGTTAGCATATGTATACCGATAACATCATTGAGTATGCTTCTACTACAAATAAACATTTATATTGTGCTTAATTTATCAGCAAGTATAATATATTTGTCAGGAATAATGTCACTTTCTTATAAAATAGCATCGCTCTTTTTCTTAATTACCGATATCACTGAAATATTAACTTATACTTCTAATAGTTCCAGTTTTATTATATATAATTGGTACTCGATGTTTGCAGAGAAGAACTTATGTTAATTCTATGCACACTCTTTCGTATGAAGCAACCTGTTAATAATCGTGTTGGAACTCAATCAACAACAAATCGAGATGACTTTTAAACAGTTACTATTATAGCACCTACTAGAGTGAACAATACTATTCAACAAACATACACAATCAACTTTTCAATATCAATAATTCAAAGATTGTTTTATTCATATAAATAAAATCTATTCTACTAAACTATTTAACAATTTGAAATAAAAAGTTCTCTTAGGATTCGTCTTCGTTAAATATAGCATAATCTACTTTAACCTTTGGTATATTCTATCAAGTGGATAGTCTTTTCTAGAGACTAGATATAATTTAGAAAAACATAAGTATAAGAGCTCGAAACATAATTAATAGAGCATTAAAAGAATAGAAAAAATTTAAAAGAAAAGAGTTAAAAATAAAGTTATGAATGCATAAGTCATTCATTCAACCATTATAATGATGATTAAAATGTATGTTAATATATCCTAAAGCATATAATAAATGAAAGAAATTTTTTTTTAAATATTTTATTATTGCTCATATTGTTAAATACGAAGTGACATAGTTATTAATAATATATTCTGTTAAAGATGATATATGAAAAAAACTTTTTGACCTAGATTAAAATGTCGTTATAACAAACCTTGACTTCGTCTCCCATGAAAAAACCCTGCACACATTCATTACGTTTTGTCAGATTATGTAGACTTGCAAATATTATATAAAACTATTGTTCGCTTTTTTAAATTGTGTTTATATATAAAAAAATTCTAGTAAAAAGAAAAACGACTATACAATACAACATACATATATGAATATTGAGAATGTGAATTAAGTCAATAATAATATGTCATACTTATTAATTATGCTGTAATACTTGTGGAGAAACTTTGTTTATTATATGTTGAATTCTCACCATTTTTTTCATTTTTATCCAAATTTCTTTTGATGATCCAAGACATATGAATGGCATTAAGACGGGAATAAAATAAGCAAAAAAATATATAAATATTTCAAATTCACCAGTTGCACCATACGGTAAACCAAATATCAGACCAAGATACATACTCATTAGAGGAATATTAAATAAAAGATATAGTAGTGAACATGATACTACTTGTATAATCATTCTTCGATATTTATACCATTGTATTTGTTGACGAAGACGTTGTTTTTGTCTGATAACACGAATAACTAATAAAATATTGAAAATTATGATTAAAATTGATGGCAATATACCGTTTACGAATGTATCATATATATTAAGACCAAATATTCCTAAGTAACATGGACCATAGCACCAATATTCTGTATAATATGGTGTACTGTCACAAGATACAAAGAAAACACAGACAATATAAAAAATACAAGCATATGAAATAATGCTTATTAATGGAATATAATGAATACAAATACGTTTTTTCTGAGTATTAAGCCATTGATGATGAAATATTATAATATGTCTCTCAATTGTAGTCCATGCCATTAACATACCCAATAGATTATAAGCAGTTGCACCTACAAACCACCAAATATAACAATTTATTACTGTTTGTGGCCAGACATAGCCAAGACGAAGGTAAGTAAGATAATTAGAAATATCTGTAGCTTGTGAGAAGAGTCCAACAATAAGAATAACAATAATAACATGATTATTGAGTACTTGACGTAATGTCCGATCGAAATAAAGATTATAGAGTAAAAAAATAGAACAGAAAATAGATGGAATCTCGAAAAAAACAAGAATCCAAAAACGAGCTGTTGCTGATACGGATGCTTCTGGATATGAATACGATGTTGTGTAATTGTCTTCAATATCATTAATAGAACTATCATTATAAACAATATCAGCCATGAACTCCGAATGTATCGATGAATAGAATTAAGAATAAAGGACGTTATGTCAATCGTATTTTAATCCTCTCATAGGATCTTATATTCTCAAATGTAGAATATACGACTAAATGTCACGGTAAATTTATTGTATAAAAGAAAAAACAAGAAACTATCATCAGTTGTCTATAAAAGAATAAAAACTTTTTCCATCATTTCATTATCTAGTCATAAGTTAAATAATTAAAATAAATTGCATTGTTAAAGTATACAATAACGATAGACATTCTTTTGTATAACATGTAGCTTATAAAAAATTTAGAAAAAAGAAAAAGCTTGAAATCTATATATATAATGTTCGGTCAATGCGTTTTTTATATGAGGTCAAAAGAGTATCGAAAATAATATAAACTGTCGTAATCTTTTAAACAAACAGGTGAGGCACAATAAATCTGAATCATTAGTGTGTTTAGCAGGGTGTGGGTATGAGATGGAAAGAACACCCACATCTATCCTCAAGATCATTGAAGGAAAATATTTTCAATCTTTTTTATTGTCAATTAGCAGATAGGTTTTTATTTTTTATTTTTATTTAATATATAACTAATAAATATTCCTTTTTTTAAAATAAATAAATAAGTAGAATAGAATTTCGTATTTACATATATATTCTTTACATCAGACATTTCTTTATAAATAAAAAGAGAATTTTATTAAAAAAAAGGTGTTAAGGGAATTTGATTTTGCGGCAGATTTAAACTGATGCTAACTTTTACCCAAAAGAAACAATAAAATATGGAAGTAAAAACACACTAACAAGTTTACCAGTAAGAGTCGTATATCATAACTTTAGTTTTCTTAAATTCTTTTATAACGGTAAAAAGACAGAATAAAATCCATCCGGTTTCAAAAAAAAACAAGAATCTATTTTAGCTACTTAAAATTCAAAAACAATTAATCAAGATGCAGAACACTAATTTGGTAATCGATGTGATACTGTGGAAACTACGAACACCATCAACACTGTCAATATTCCTTATATCTATGCTTCCATTTTATCACAAATGAACTCTTTTTGAAAACATCATTTTACTGAAAAATCAAATTCTTCAGGATATGAAAAAAACTATATCTAAACGATTCTCAATTCTGTTTGATTAAAGATATTTGAATATGATCATTAGGTTTAATGTTCATATTTACATATTTGTGTTGAAATTAATACAAATGATTTTTGTATTATTTTTAATTTTAATAAACGATTCTATTTATCATACGATTTATTAATCGCCTATATAACAATATTTCAGTTACAAAAGAAGAAGTTTTTTCTAAATGAAGATGACATTAGTTTTGACGATAATAGAATATTTTTATTTAAATTGTGATATAAATACCTTTGTTGAATGAACAGAGAATTCATTTAATGAAGTTTTAAAACCAAGTTAGAGTATGAAATGAATATAATATTCACACTCTCAAGATGTTTGACAACATTTTTTTATCTTGGGTGTCTAGTTAAAATAAAAAACGGAAAGCTCTCTGTATATTTCTTCCTCTTAAATAGCTACATAGAAAAACAACATCAATAAATCTATTCAGATTGTAAAAACCAACAATTTTAGAGTTCATTCAAGATAATACATTACTAGACTTTCTGAATATTCAATATAATCAACTTAAGTTTATGATTAAACACTTATTTGTATATTAAGATAACTATTAACATTATTTCCCAAAGTAACAAATCTTTTAGCGTTTTTTTCTATCCATATAAACAGTTATAATAATTCGAACAATTACAAATACTTCAGTTTATTGTAAAAAAAACTACTACACAATAACGGATATATTGATTGACCTAATACTTTGTACTTTTTCTATCGTTACAATTGTTTTCAGATATGTCATCGTATAGTTAACAAAAGAATAACGAAAACAAATACAAATAAAATAACGGTAAAAGACAAATGAGAAAAAAATAAAATTTGATAAATAATGAAATGGCAAAGTAAATATATTGATGATGCTACAAATTGTATGAACGATCTATTGATTCTATTGTCATATTACCCGAAACTATTTTCTCTCGGTCTTTCGTTTATTCTACCTCCGATCACAACGGAAACAACATCAAATATTAGTGTTTTACAAATTTTTTTAGTTATAACTAGGTCAATGATGAAAAAAAGCGGCTGGTTCACCATTGTAAATAAATCATATCATGGACAAAGAAATACGATGTTGTATATCGTACAGTACATCAGTATACGGATCGTATTGTTCAACCTGTGTATCTAATTTTTTTCATATATTAATGAATGTTCATCTGATAGCATTTCAAATATATCTACTTAACAAACTGTATCATCAATTAGAATAATTAATAAATATAGATATTTTAAAAGTAGAGTAAAACGAGAACAAGAATAAATTATAATATTTGTGAATAAACAAACGAGAATCGAGGGAAGTTGTTATCGTATAAAATATTGCATTTCTATGATACTTCATGAAATTCAAATTTCAACGAATATATTTATTCAATTTTCTAATGAAATGAAAGAACTAACAATGAACATTAGTTGTATTGCATAAAACTGATATATATATATATATATATATATATATATATATATAAATTAAAATTTTGAATCGATAAATTGACAAATTTGTTCAAAGAATATTTAATGAATTTGTTTTGCTCTTTTTTTCATAATTAATTTATGTTGAAAAAACTAATATTTGAGTTTAGTAAATATAAGTAAAGAGAGAAATATATAGAAGATACAATTATTATTATTATTTGCATTTTCTTCTAATAAATATGTTCATCATGTTATCTATCGCTTATATGGGTATTTGGGTCATTATAATCGTCATTGGACAAGTATCGGGTAAATAAATACATAGTTTTTCTTAAATTTTACTGAAATTATTTCTCAATATCAGTTGATCCAAAATAATACAATGAAACCTACTGTTCTTTTTTTTTAAATTTAAAATCATTCTCTAGAAGTTTCAATTAATTAATACTTGTAAATCACTGGAGCCTTATGCTTCATCCCTTTGTTTATGGGGTGACTATTGTTACGAACCTATGCACATAACAGCTAAATGCGAAATTCACTGATTATCATATGTATCACTAAAGCAATCAAAATTAAAAGAATATTTAAAAGATAGTTTCGAGTTATGAAAAGTCAAAATGAAGATTATGACTATTACCGTAGTTAGATATTTTTGTATCAGATTACGAAAAAATAATTTTGTTCATATCTTGATTATTTAGCTCTTTCTTATAATCGGCCGAAATTTTGTTCGAATGCATCATGGTATCCGAATGCTACGACTTTCGCAAATATGAGTATGATGGGTCCGCAACCTCGCGATATTTTTATCAATACAAACAATACGATCTATGTTACTAGTCAAGCAGTTAATAGTGTTCTTGTCTGGCATGAAGGAAATACTATACCAATCAAAAATATTTCTGGTAATATATCAAGTCCCATTGGTCTCTTCGTTACAACAGCAGGTGAAATTTATGTTGATAGTGATAATTCAATCGGTCGAATTAATAAATGGACATTAAATTCAACAGTTGGTATTTCAATAATGTATACATGCACAAAATGTTATGATATTTTTATCGATATGAACAATAATCTTTACTGTTCCATGAAAAATTCTCATCAAATTGTTATAAAATCATTAGATGTTATTTCAAATGCATTAACAATCGTTGCAGGTACAGGAAATGCTGGAAGTACTTCGTCTATGCTAAGTAGTCCTTATGGAATCTATGTTAATACTAATTTTGATTTATATGTAGCAGATTATTTCAATAATAGAATACAATTATTTCAATCAGGACAATTAAATGCAATCACAGTAGCAGGAGCAGGATCATTAAATACTACAATTGCACTCAATGGACCAACTGGAATTGTTCTCGATGCTGATAATTATCTCTATATTGTGGATTGCAACAATAATCGTATTGTTGGATCAGGACCAAATGGTTTTCGATGTTTAGTTGGATGTTCTGGTTTAAGTGGTTCAGCAGCAAATCAACTAACTACTCCGAAAATACTAAGTTTTGATAGTTATGGTAATATGTATGTTACAGATTCTGGAAACAACAGAGTGCAAAAATTTATATTATCAACAAATTTGTGTGGTACGCTTATAAATTAAAAATCTTTCTTTGATTTAAATGTAGACTTATGTAAAAGGGAAAACTGTTTTATTGTTTTCTTTTACGAGAAAAACTTCATTTTGTAATATAATTTTGTTTTTTAGGTGAAACAATAACATCAACTATAGCGAATGGTAAAAGAATATGTTTTTTTTATTCTAATAAAATTATTAAAATTTTAGTAAATACATCATTCAATACAACTCAATCAAATAATATAATAACATTGCCCCGAACTAACGGTAAGTATCATTGGTTTGATACTTTTTTAATTATATATAAAATATCTATCCCCAGAATTTTTTATTGTTTTATCAAATATTTAGTATGGCTTCTTTTTTCATTTCACATTGTATTTAATAAAGTTTCTAGTGAGATTTGTTTTCTTTCTTTAGCTATTTCATACAATCGACCTAAATTCGATGCATCGGCTTCATGGAGTGCTAATGCAATTACTTTTGCAGATAGTAGTACAGTTGGTAGAAATCCTTGGGGTATTTATGTCGATACTCATAACAGCATATATGCTGTTAATTCGCCATCTGGTCGAATACAAATATGGTTGAATAATAGCATTAGTCTATCACGAACGATTTCCGGTAATTTCTTAGATCCTCATTTCGTTTTCGTTACAATTAATGGTGATATTTATATCGACAATGGAGCAATGAATGGTCGAGTTGATAAATGGGTATTGAATGGAAATACTAGTGTTCCTGTCATGTATGTTAATTCATCGTGCTGGGGTCTTTTTATTGATATCAATAATACTCTTTACTGTGCATTGGGTGATCAGAATCAGGTTGTCACAAAATCATTGAATACTATGTCAAACATAACAACAATTATTGCGGGAACAGGCTGCGCCGGAAGTACTTCGAATATGCTCTATGGTCCTTATGCAGTTTATGTTAATACCAACTTTGATTTGTATGTAGCAGATCGTTACAATGATAGAATTCAATTATTTAGATCAAGACAATTAGATGCAATCACAATAGCAGGAGATAGCTCTCTAACTCCTACAATTACATTAGACAAACCAATGGGAATTGCTTTAGATGCTGATAATTATATTTTTATTGTGGATAATCATAATCATCGTATTGTTGGATCAGGACCGAATGGTTTTCGATGTTTAGTTGGATGTTCTACTCAACCGGGTTCAGCATCCAATCAGCTAAACTGGCCACAAACGTTTGGCTTTGATAGTTATGGAAATATATTTGTCACAGATTGCGCAAATAATCGTGTGCAAAAGTTTATTCTATTAAAAAATACTCTCGGTATGTAATCAAAAATACTTCTATAAAATTAAATTCATTAGTATCTATAGTCCAACTTTCTAGAAAGAAAATGTTTGTTATTGAACAGATATTTTATGATAATATAGAAACTTCAAATAAAATTTCTAGAATCAATTTATAATACTTATCCTGTAATTAATGAAGCATGCATTCTTTTTTTCAGTTAATTTTGAATAATATTATATAAAATATTTGTATCCTATGCTGGAATATGTGACAGAAGTAATTTCCGTTAAGTTGAATAATTTTAAGGATATTTTTTTACAATATTGATGAAAAGTTAATTCAGATTATTTCATAAAAGGCATATGAAATATTTCATATAGTTTACTAGCAAAAGTCAAAGAGTTTCATGTGTGAATGAATCTATTTTATTTTAGATCCTGCGTACAACCAACCAAAATTTTGTTCAAATGCATCATGGTATCCAGATGCACTCACTTTTACTAATATCAGTACAGTTATCGGATCTCCTTTGGCTATTTTTGTCAATACTAATGACACAATTTATGTTGCTGATCGAGCAAATAATGAAATTCGGATATGGTTCAATAATAGTATCGATCGGACACAAACAATTCACGGTAATTTTTCAGCATCTTATTCTATTTTTGTCACAACTTATGGTGATATTTATGTTGACAATGGAGCACTCTACCATCGAGTAGATAAATGGACATTGAATGGAAACACCAGTGTTCCTGTCATGTATGTTAATACACCGTGCTATGGTCTCTTTGTCGATACTACTGATACTCTTTATTGTTCAATGTTTAATTTTCATCAGGTTGTCAAAAGATGGTTGAATGATAGTTCTAGTACATTAACAACTATTGCTGGTACAGGAACTGCTGGAAATACTTCGTCTATGCTTCATAATCTGTGATGTATGACCTAGATTATTATCACTCGTATTTGTGATATAT